CTCCCTGGCTGCCTGCAGTGATATGGACAAGCGAGGCCTTTAGGAGAGCCTGCAGGACAGCAGGTCTGGACACCAGAGTTTTTCCAGATCTGCAAATGAATGGCTGTGATGCCTTTTTTTTTTTTAACTTGGCAGCATGAAAAAAAAAATCCTGGAGAAAAGAGATGCATAGATCTACTCCACGCCTATGATTCAGCCAGGAGGAACTCAGAAAAATTCTCACAATACTCTGACATATTCTCTGCATACTGTGAACTCTGTACTCATCACAGATGGCAAATGGCTGAGGGTACACAGGGTTAACTATTGCTGATTGACTAGTTCCCCATAGATTCAAGTGAACAAAGTGGTAGGCATGGAGGGTGTGAAGGTTTGCCTGGAATTGGTACTGTCTTTTAATGGCACATTTTAAATGTATAAGTCATTAATGCAGATTTAATGACAAATCATTGATTTTATAGACAAAACCTTCATTTTGAGTCTTTTATTTCAATCATTTTTCATGAATGTATCCATGTATTTTACCTGGTTCTTTCCTCTAGTACCCAACAACATGGGCATTTGTCGGTGTCTATAAAAAGGTTAAGATGGTTGGTCAGTGAGACAAGTCAGAGCAGTTTGCAACCTGCCATCCAACTTGGCTCTGGGATCCCAAAGGGCAGAGACCATGTCTTATCCATTCAGTTTCCCCAGCTCCTGGCAGGATGCTCAGAACACAGAAGGTGCTCATTCAATGTTTGCAGATAAGTGAGTGAATGGTTCCAAGTTAAGTATGGCCTAAAAGGGTGGCCTGGAAGGACTTCTGGACATAACCTAATTCCACTTGCCTGAACTCTTCCATCCTGAAAAGGTTTTTTTGTTTGTTTTTGTTTGTTTTAAGCTGAGCCATCCTGCTACCTGTTGGCAGCTCAGCGGCTGCTCAGCTCGGGCCGGGAATTGAACCGCTGTTGTTCAGAGCTCAAACTCTTGAGCGAGCTCTTAACCAACTGAACCACTCGGTTGTTTTTGTTTTTTAAATACAACCTTATTGTCATATACAGAGGAGAAAGGAATAGTGAATTTAAAGGGGTTCGGGGATACTATACTTGGAAGAGCTTTAGGGGGAAAACTCCGTGAGCAGTGAGGCATATATTCAGTGGGAGGGACGGTGAGGGAGGGCAGAGTGTGGGCCACCCAGAGGGAAGAGAGACATGAAGGGGAAAGGAAATGGGGAGCGGGCTGAGAGCTGGACTTCTCTGAGTGTCACACAACCAATATCAATTTTTTGAGCTGTTGTGTACACATCATACACATGAGCAGCTCCTCAAAGAATGCAATTTCATTTTTAATGTGGAAATTTTAAAGGCTTTGAAAAGAGACTATTTTCCCTTGCAGATACTGCCTGGAAGAGTTGCAATGAAAAGAGCTTGCCATCTATTTGAAACTAATGTGGAATGAGCTGTCAAGGTCAGTGCTATACAGCAGGAAGGCTTTCTGGGTAGTCTTAAGATGCCCGAGTGTAGCATGACAACCAGTGTAGAAGGTTCAGTGAGGCTATTGCCAGGCATGGGTGGGTAATGCTGCAGGTGGACATGGGGTGTGGCTTGTGGCACTTATAAGGCTCCTCACACAATCTTGTCAGCGTCTTGACATGTAAGAAATGTGCAATAACACCTGGAATGAATTTGTTCATAATGGTTCAGAAATAGCCCTGAGTGCATAATTTGGACATATTTATAAAAAAGTATTTAGAATTATCTGTGGCTTTTAGGCCTTGGAGGCCAAGGTTGAGTACTGAGCAGTTCAGAAAGTGTCCCAATGTGGCTGATAACCTGTGACCCCTGGGGAATGAAAGGGCCATGCATCTGAGCCCACACGCTCTCAGTGTAGAATCGCATAGGGTCACACCTCTGATAAAACCCTTTCCACTACTTCCCACTGCGCTTGAGACAAAGTCCACACTCAGAGCCATAACTCCCAGTCAGGCAGTGCCTGACCTCCTGTGCTTCCCCTGCCGCCAGTGCTGCAGCCTCTCTGGCCTTTATTCCCCCTTCTTCTACCTCAGGGACTCTTACATGCACACTGTTCCTTTGGCCCAGAATCAATCCCTCCCACCACTTTGCCCGATTAGTTCATCCCTTTTCATATTTCATGTCTCAGCTCAGTGGCACCTCCTCTGGGAGGCAGGCCCTGTGTCCTTCCTCAGGTACACCCTTGATGTTCTTGACCTCAGTACCCTGTTTGTTTCCTTCATAGTCCTTATTGCAAACTCGAATCCTCTCATTTTTTGTGTACTTTTTCTGTTTCGCTCGCCACTCCCTACCAGACAGCAAATTCTTTGGAGGCAGAGATCATACCTGTCTTGATCGCGTCGATATCCATGGCACCCATTTTTGCTTCTGGCACATAGAAGGTGCTCACCTGTCAAATGAAAGAACGTGTAGGAAAATGGAGACAATAGAAAGTTAGAGACTTTTGGGGGATTGTGTAGAGTTGGCCCTGTGTTTTCTGACATGAGATAGCTGTTGGAATGCCTAACATAGTCCACCAGGCCTTGTGGGAATGGTCAGGCTGGATGGTTACTGGACTAATGGCCAGGTTCTCACTTACTGTGGTCTCCCTGGGATTCTGGGAGACAAGTAAAGAGAAACAGCTCTCCTACAGGATTATCTCCTTTTACATGAAAAGACCATGAGAACCCCGAAGATGAGGCATTCCCATTGGGCAGAATTCTAGTCTGGTGCTTAATCTGAAGAAGAAGTAGGTGAGGGCACTACCAACACAGTTCCTGAGTGGGAACGACAGGGATGTAAACAGACACATGTCTCTCCATCAGGGTGCATTCCAGGTTCAGCAAACACCCTTCCCCTCTTTCCCATCTGCTCCATGGACCAGACCCAGCTGGACTGTGAGAGGAACAGATGGTGGGTGAATTCCTGAATGACCATGCTGATAACTTCTTCAGGTGCAGAGAGAAAATGGTTATGGCTGTAAAGATTCCAATCTCACTGGGCTGACTGCCGACTCTTCCATGAGCGTGTTTATTTAAGAGTCAATTTGGAACGTGACAATGACAGTCAGTGTGTGCACATAAAGGGATTCTAAATGCATGTACCTATCACCTGCTTTCTTATTACAAGCAGCCTCACCCCACTCAGCCCTCGATTTCTTCACTTAGGCTTTTGCCACTAGGTAGACGAATACAGCTCAAAGTGTATGCTAATGTACCCAAATTCTCATTAACTCCTCCTCTGTGATTTAGGATTTTTGCCTCAACTAAGAGAGGCAAGGTTATTTTAGTAGCAGCTTTGAGTAAAAGCAAATAGTCCCTTAGAGAAAAAAGTCAGCAATATTTTTGTTTCTGAAACTCCTTCCTAGACATTTATTTGCCGTGAAGAAGTCAACATACTTTATAGCTGGCATCTGACAGGGTCTGTAGGGACATCCAAGGTGTGTGTCTCAGGCTGCTCCCCTGACTGGCACAAGCAAAGTCTGGATATTTTAGGCCAGAGTGGGTTTGCTGAGGGTAACGTTCAGATTTTTGCTTTTTATTAGAAATGCATGTATCATTCTCCTTTCCCAAATTGCAATTCAGGCTTGACCGGCAAAGGTGTCCACTGAGGGGCCCACTTCTTGCCCTCTGACTTCATGTCTGAACAGTATTTGTAGATCCATCTGTAGCCAATAAGCTTCCTTCCCCTCAGGCAAACAGGTGACGGCTCCCAGAGCCTCCTGCCCTTTGCATGTGTTTATATTTTATATCACCACCATGAAGGCAACTTCGCCCTCAGTATCACCTGGTTCTTTTGCCCAATGCTAATTTAGAGGCTCTGCACCTGCTTTGGCCTAGGAGGTCATAGGGACTAACTGCTTATGCCTTGCTACACACTGAATATGTCCCCTCCAAATTCATGTGCTGAAACGCTAAACCCTAATGTGATAGTATTAGGAGGTGGAGCCTTTGTGAAGTGATTAGGTCATGAGGGCTCCACCCTCATGAATGCCATCAGTGCCCTTATAAAGGAGGCCCTGGAGAGCTCCCTCACCACTTCCACCACGTGAGGACCCAGTGAGAAGATGGCCATCTATGAACCAGGAAGCAGGCCCTCACCAGACACCAAATCTTCTGATACCTTGACGTTGGACTTCCTAGCCTCCAGAACTATGAGAAATAGATGTCTGTTGTTTAAGCAGCCGGATATTTTTGGTATAGTAGCTAGAATGGACTAAGACATACCTGGTTACCATAGGTGGGCTTCTGGGCCACACATGGGAAACCCCCCATACACATCAGTGCTGTGCTGCCTTTCACAACTTAAAATAGTGCTTCTTGTTTTAAATCAAAGCCCTAGTGAGTTGTTTTATCCTTGTGGAATGGTTTAAGTGAGGGATCTTCAGTTAACCTCCTTTGTAAATCTGAACTGTTCAATTCCCATTGGGTTGACTAGAGCAGAAGAGACACCAATCTGAAGTCCTCTAGTACTAGTGACATTTTCAACAGAAACGTTTGGCCTTAACTTGCAAAACGCTGAAGTCCTTTGCCAATATTCAACATCACAGCTTCCTCTGCCCCCTTTGCGTTGTTCGGTAGCATCAATCATTTTGCCAGTTAATGCCATGAACGCCGACTGCCCGTCCAGGAGCTCCCTAAAGTAGTTATTCTTAGTTACTCATTACTTAGGTAATGTAGATGCTGAATCTTTAGCATTAAAGAATATGTGGAAATTATTTGGGGAGAAGGAATGAAGAAGCTAACATGATAGTGCACACTGCTTATGTTCTCTGCGTTTCTTGTTCCCATGCCCACTTGGCCCACGGAGGCTGTGCCCTGACTCCTGGTCCAGCTGTCCTCATCTAGTCTCCTCCTCTTCACCTTTGCCCACACGCTCACCCCAACACTAGTCTAGATGTTACTACTGTGTGTGTAGACTGATGGTAACAAAAAGGACAGTTTGCTTAAACTGGCTGTAAATTTCAATGGGAAGCCAATGGCCATCTATTTAAGATGAGAAAGAGTTCAGTAAGATCAAATCCACTTTATTGGATGAATTTTTGGCAGTGCAATGGTGTTCTTTTTAATAACAAATCCTACACAGGGAGAAAGATTTGACCTGGTAGTTTAAGGAGACGTTGTTGGTGAAAACTAACCCAAGCAGAACAACTGGCTTCTTCCTGAAAGCAATTATTCCCCATCTAATCTCTCTTCACAGCTCATTAATTCTCTAAGAATCAAAGAAAGGTGTTTCCCAGTTATCCTGCCACAAGAGAACCTGCTGGTGGACGGAAGCTCAAGCCCTGTGGCACAGCACAGCATGGCGCACAAACTCGCGGTCTGAAGAAGTATGGGGTTGTTATGTCTGCTGCCCAAGCTCACCAAGATGCCCCAGAGGTGGGTGTTATGCAGGATGCTGGCTCATCTGTGTTTGCTTGGGAGGTGCTTGGCATCTATCATCTGTGGCCTTGAGCAAACTAATTAACCTCTCTGAAACTCAGTTGGATCATTGGTAATAAGGGGTTTCTATGAGTTTCTCTGCAGTGTTTTGAGAATTATATGCAATCACCCAGGTGAAGTGTCAAACCTACCGCTGGACACATAGTAGGTGCCTAGTAAATGGTGTATGTGCAGAGATGTACTCAGGCCATATTCTTAGAAGACAACAGGCCAACTGTTTCTGTTTTTAGCAACTTCAATAAAAAAATTCAAGTTTCTCTGGTTCCAACTCAAAAGAGACACATGGTTGAGGCCTGCAGGAAGGCAGAGCACAGGATAAGTAATGTGAAAGAAGGTGCCCAGTTGTTACATTTCATGAACAGGGAGCGTTCTCCCCAAACACACAAGGGTTCTTTCACCTCCATCAAGGTCAATTGCTCAAGCCATCATCTCAAAGCAGCAGAAGGGCATGACAGGAAGTGAGCTCTGACTTCTCAGCTAGGGTAGCGTCTGAATCATGGACAATGCCCATTCTACCTGGCCTGAGAACACGGTCCTTTGGGCAATGGTGTCAACACCTGTCAGGTGTCAGATTGATGGGGAAAGGAACTACAGGGAACTTACCTTCTTCTGAGTTCCTGGGGCCTTTCCTTTACAGGGGATGTTTGTTCTCAGAAAGGAAGGACATAAATGCTAAGGCAGGAAGTTAGCTCCCAATGCTTTCAGCATCTGACCAGGGAGATAACGCTTTGAGGTTTTGGAGATGTTGAGGTTTGTGGAAATTTCTAGTGGCTCCATCTTACTGCCTGACTGAACAGTGACCCATTAGAAGTGATGGGTGGGCTCTGAGCCATGCAACTCAGGGCTATGACCCACAGTGGCTTGTGTGCAAGCATGATGTCTGTAAAGTGACCCAATGAAGCTCAGACCCTCATCAGACTTTACAATGAATAAGTCCATGTTTATATAAGCACTTCTAAAAAACGATTCGAAGAACTTTTCAAGCTTTAGTTGGATCAACTCGTCATGAAGAAGGATTTCCTAGGGATATGAATGGCGGTCTTCTTGCATTTGTGTTTCCATGAGAGAAAGCAGCTGATGTGAACACTCAGATAAGTATGTGACTAATTCCAGCACATGTGGGCTCTGGCCTATCGGAGAGCTTTAGAATAGGACTGTTTGGATCTCTTCCTCTTCTGTAGCTTTTACAGGAGCTTCCTCTTCTGTAGCTCCTGTAGTTGGCCGAGAGATGTGATTTGGATTCATGGAGGCCACTACAGAGTTAGAGACCTGGAGAGGGGCTCGCTTAGTGGTTTGGGGGATGTTTAGAATCATAAACTGAGGCAGATGTGAAACAGGCCCCAGACCCCAGTCCAGCTACAAGGCTATTTCACCTGTGGTTTCCCCAGCCTTGCTTAGCTGCCTGAGGGTTGTAGCCTGCAGACACTGATCAGTTTGACCAGAGGCAGGTTTTAGATCTGGCAGGGAGCAAGGAAATAGTCCTGCTGTGTAAGCCCTGGATCTGGCCAGCTTGGGGTGAGCGCTGGGGCAGTCCAGCTGTAGCTCCTCTCACTCCAAGGCATCCAGTCTCAGTAGCGGACTTCCTGCCTTAGATTCCTGATGGCATACTGGGGTGCTGCTGTAGGCTGCCTGCTTCCTTTCCCCGAGGGCGAAATGCCAGCCCATCCCCCATTCCTTCCAAGATCTTCTTCACCAGAGAAGGATGCCTGGAACCTCAACTCAGCACTATGTCCCTGGAGAGGGCCCCTGCTTGCTCACTGCTTCCCTGTGCCCACCTCTCAAGATCCAGCCTGTGTGCCCAAGCACAGGGATTCCCTGCCCTGACGGTGGCAGCCCACAAGTGCCAGGTCCCCATCTGAGGCTGCCTGCCTCCTAATCTCATCTGCCCCAGAATCTAGAAGACCAGCTTGAGAGGGCCTGGGCCTGAGATCCACATGCAATCCCCTTTGCTCTGCCTTAACTTTCTGCCTCACTATGGCTTTGCTTTTACTCCTGGGGAAGGTGTGTCACTTTTGGGACAGGAAAATGCATTCATTTTCAGAGGCCAGTTGAGAGCTGTGAAGATCGTGGGGGAGGCCTCCATAATTCTGTGGCTGGGGAGCATTTGAAATTTCTCTCCAGGTCTAAGTCAGTTAATTTGAAGCCTGTCTGTCTCAACAAGTACCAGACAGGCTCCATGAATCGACATGAGCATGGGCACTATCCGTCTGTCCATCCGTTTATCCTCTTTCTGTGCCATCTATCCTGGAAATGAAAAGCCCTCTGAAGCTGTCAGTTTTAAGGCTCTTCTCTGCCCTTTTCTCTCTTAACGTTCACCCTGTTCTGATTCTTCCATTGATCCTCCTCACCCCACGTTTGCCAGATAGGAGGGGGCGGCCCTCCTCTCCCCCTTTCTGGGCACCATCCCTGCTCTCCTAGCCCAGCCGCCTTCTTAGGCCCCTGCCTGACCAAGAGGAGGCCCAGGGGCTTCTTGGCACCAGCTGAGAATTGGTCCAGCTTGAGCTTGAAGGTGAAGGTGCCGCTGCAGTCACCTCTCCTTTTGCCTCACACCCCCTAACTCCCCGAGTAACAAAGATGTGCTGAGCCCTGAAGTCAGATACCTCAGCATCCATTGGTGCCCATGCTTATTTTAAAATTCTAGCTGCTTGCCTTTCTCTCTGTTTTTCTTCCCTCGCTGCCCTCCTTATCTCAGCACTGACTGGCTGATCGTGCCCTCTGAAACTCAGCTTGCTTTCTCCCTGGATTTTCCACAGTCTCTCTGAGACTGGGCAAGAAAACCACAGTGAAGGTTAGAAGTACTTTGAGATTTTTGGGCCGAAAGTACTAAAAAGAATCAGCTTCTGGGGTTCTCCTTGTGGTGGGAGGTGGAGGATACAGTGTGATTTGAGGTGGTCTGGAAATGGCTGAGGCAACTATCCACATGCTCAGAGGTGCTCTGTGGTCCAGGCTGCCTTCTAAGAGTCACTTTGAGGAGATCAATTATCCAGCAGGTTACATTTGACATGTAGAACACAACAGAGGAAAAACACACACACTTTCCAGATACCGACAGAGATAATCAAGGGCCTTATATACCTCAGCTCCCAATAAGTCACTGGTTTCAGGTTTGAAAGGAAGTGCCTGCGTGACTTGGATCAACTTTACCCATGAGGTCTGTGAGCTGACTCTAAGAGGATGGGGTTGGGGGTTGAGCTTCTAGGAGGGCAGAGTCTCTCCTCCCTGAATCCATGATGAGCCTTAGGCTGGTTGTAAGGAGGGGATGGGGTGACAGTTCTCTCTAGGTGTCAGCCTCCAGACGGGAGCTGCCAGTCGGTTTGTGAGACCTAAGGAGGGAGGTGATCCTGGGCCAGATGTCTGAGGTGTGCGTGAGGACAGAGGTCACCCTGTAGCTTTCACTGTGGGGAACCCATCCTGGCCTGGCCCTTAGCCAGCACCCACAGCATGGGAAGAGAAGAGGCAGCATTGCCGTGGGGGCCTAGGCAACAGGCCACCTGTTTGGAGAGACCCTGAACTGGGAGATTCCAGGACTGGATATACTGTTCCTCCCCCCAAAGTCCCAAACACACTCAGCTAATTCAGCCCCTTTACCCCTGGCTCTACAGTGTCTGAACTCATAGAAATCAGTGAAGGGAGGTTCTGAGGAGAGTGCGGCCCTTACACAGAGCCCCTGGTCTGCTGGGGCTCACTTAGCCCCTCAGGCTCGTTGTCTCCATTCTGTTCAGCCTCTGCATCCAGCTCTGTTGTAGCACAGCTTCCAGGCAGGGGCGTAATGGGGAGGTACTGGAAGAGCCGGCCTTCCTGCTTCATTTCTGCCAGCTCCTTGGCACAGCAGCTGGGCGTGTTGGTCTCGTAGGTGTCATGGAAGGTGTTGTAGTCCACCTCATAGAAGCCTTTTTCCAAGGTGAGGACTGGTGTAAACCGGTGGCCCCAGAGCACCTCTGTGTCCATGTAGGAGCTCCGTGCTTGGCAAGTCATGCCTGGATGAACAGAGGGTACATGTATTAAGACTGTCCAGAGCCATCCATCCATCCATCCATCCATCCATCCATCCATCCATCCAACTGTCCAGTTATCTATCCATCTGTCCATTCATCCATCCATCCAACCATCCATCCATCATCCATCCATCCATCCATCCATCCATCCATCCATCCATCCACCCACCAATCTGATTATTCAGGCATTTGCTGAACATCTACTTTGTGCTAAGCATGATGAAAATATTAAGCTAAATAAGAAATAGTCCATGCCTTGAAAGAGCTCAAGGTGTGGTGGAGGCAGAAAATTAGAAATGCAAGATTCTGGCATAGGTTCTTACAGACTGAAGTGGATAATCTTGGAATCGCTGGAGCTAGGGACATGTTCCTGAAAACAGCATTAAGATCTGGAAGACCAAGACAAGAAAATGGTTTGAACAAAGATAAATTCGGAGAGTGAACGCAGAGAAGCCGACAGGCATTTAGAACACCTGAGGCTTGTTTCAGGTTTCGGGTAGAAGACTTCTCTGTCTCTCTGTCTCTCTCTCT